GAGAGGCTGACGGAAGTGGATTTATTTAGTCTGCAAAGAGAAGAATGAGAAGGGGGATTTGATAGCAGCCTTCAACTTCCTGAAGACTATGGAGACAGACTATTCTCTTTGGTGGCAGATGGCAGAACAAGAATCAATGCACTCAAGTTTCAGTGGGGAAGTCTAGGTTGGAAATTAGGAAAAAATATTTCACTAGGAGGGTGGTGAAGCATTGGAATGGCTTGCTTCAGAAGGTGGTGGAATCTCCATGCTTAAAGTTTTTTACATCAAGGCTTAACAAAGCCTTGCTAGAATGATTTATTTGGCATTGACTACGCTTTGAGCAGGGGGTTGGACTAGATGGCCACCTGAGATCTCTTCCAACTCTGATCGTCTATGATTCTATAACTCTTTGATCAAAAAAAAGAATGTAAGCATGAGTTTATCTTTAAATATGTAAATAGTCCTGCTCACTTAAACTGGATCTACTTATTTACTTAAAGTGAATCATGTGCTTAAATACTATACTGAGTTGGGGCATAAACCCTAAAGCTTTAATTCTCCAATGCCTTGCAATTTATATAATCATTTGCCTTTGTGTAAAGTTGATGTGAAACCCTACCACATCACTCTGCATGGGGGAAAAGACAAGGTGCAAAGCAGGCCCTTATATGGCAATTTCTTCCTGAGTTTATAGGAACATTATACTATGATTACTTAAAAGTACCCCAGTAAAAATATGTTACCTCTACCACCCAGAAAAACAGGAGTGACAAAATATAATTCAAAGTGACTGAAGATATCTCGTGGTATTATTTTCCATGGCACTGACCTAAAATATACTGACAGTTATGCTTTGGAAATGGGGAAGAAGTTTATAAATAACAGGTAGGTCAAAGTAGTTTTGCCTAATTGTCTTTCACCAAGCTGAAGTGAATAGAAGATTCAATTTACTATAAGTTTCAAGCATGGACAGATTATTGTTAGAAAGTCAGTCAATAACTTAAGAAATATAAAATATAAACCTCCCAGAGTGTACCGTAAGATACATGGACAACAGTACTACTCTAAATAACCAGGAAAAAGTAAGATGCCATAAATAAGTTATTGAATAGTCTTAAGAAAATTAAAAACTCAGCAAGGCCAAAAATTCTGCTTTATTTATACTGGTGCTACCCTGATTAAGTTGCCCATCAGAGCTGTTGGAATCTCTCTGGCTTTGAATAATTGTACAAAATGTATTTTGCCTCATATCACAAACCTAAGAACTTGTTCAGTGGATACTTAAACTTTGAGCCAGCTCATCATGAAAATCAGATATGAATCTCTCTGGCTACATCTAGACTGCAGAGTTAAATTGGAAAAAGATACACAATTTGCAGTATTCAAATTGTGTACCTTTTTCTGATGTTCTTTCAAAAGAGGCTTTTCTGAAATTTAGTGCATCTGCATGACACCAAATTTTGGAAAAACCTGCTCTTTCAACACATCCCTTATGCCTTGTAGAATGAGGTTTACAGGGATGGCAAAATCTTAATCTGGACACTGTCAGGGGACACTTGAACATTTGAAAGTTAAGATCCTTTGCAGTGGCAGACATATCAAACATCAGTATGGGCGCCTAAAGGGTTAAAATTATTAATAATGTACCCTGTGAAATGATGTATAGTTATTTATAAAACTACATTAGTTTATATACTGATAGCTACAAAACATTTCATAAAGGAATCATTACATATAAAATAAAGAGTAAGTGACCTTGGTTTGGCGTTTCATGGTAATTGGACGATACTGAATCCATTGGATTCTACAACATATCTGTAAAAGGGACCGTAGCCTGCTTGGAATGTGTCTCCTGGGAGCTGATAAAGCACAGACTAATATAAACACAGGTAGGGAACCAGATGGAGAAAACACCAGCTAAAGGCAGTTGTTTTGGCCTGATAAGGTTTTGTTTAGGTCATAAGGCCTCACCCTGCTTCAGTGTGAATTTTGCCAGTGATTTCAGTACATGGAGAATGGTGACAAAGCAGCCATTTCCACAAGTAAGAAAGCAAATAAAACAACCAAGCACTCCTGGAAGTATCTGTTTTAGCAGCTATTAATTAGGATTCTGTATGATCGAGCTTCTTTAACTCTCTCTTTTCTTATCCAGAAACACCTATCCCAATCTATGATCTAGTTTAAGAATAGAGTTAAAGTTAGGCACGTGCTTAAGTGTTAGCCCTGATCCAGAATGGCATGTAAGCACATGACTAACATTATGCTTACGTGGTGTCCTGGATCAGGGCTATATACTCAGATTCTTTCCAGTAAGTATATATTATCCACCATAATCCCCTTTATTGTATGTAATGTATTCATTTTTAAAAAAAGGGAACTAACTAAGTATGATCAGAAATACAGGCAGTCCCCGAGTTACGCGGATCCGACTTATGTCGGATCCGCAGTTACGAACGGGGATTTTCTCGCCCCGGAGGACTGGAGTGGCGGGACGCCTGGTCCCGCCGCCCGCCTCCTCCGGGGCGAGAAAAGCTGCTCCCCGTCTCCCTGGTCTGCTGGGGGAGCCAGCAGACCAGGGAGACG